AAGTACCTAATAAAAGTTGTAATAACCAATCAATAATAAACAATAATTTAAATTTTAAATAAAGAATGAAAGAGTACAATAAAAATAATAACATCGTCGTCAAGTCAGAAAAATTACTCGGGAAATTAATCAAGTATGCACCTACAAATCCTATCAACGCGTTCTAGCCACGTCGCCCCTCGTTAGACGATAAACCAACTTTTAATATTGTAAAACAAAACAAAAACAAGAAGCTAGTTACAGTGATAAGCCGCCCATTAACACGGCTGGTTAATACAAAGAGACGTCTGATAAATCGACCGAGCAGTGTCTTTTCTCTGTTAATAAAAAAAAATGGAAAGAGAAACAGTGTGTGTTTAATGGGTTGAATTTTTTTAAAATATTTATTTGTGTAATTGGTACTTAATTGATACATGAATATAAATAAATCTGCATAATAACTACGAGTAAGTATCTAAAGAGAGTGTGAACTTAAAATAAAATTGCGAGTTTTCCGATTAAAGAAAATTATAATTTGATACTATATATTCTTCTTGAAAACATTTGTGCCTCAATAATAAATCAACTGTGAAATAGTATAGATAAAATAAGCATAACTTCAGTAATAAAGATGGTAATAAATGTAAACAATGTGATTGAACAGATAAATCCTCTTATAACATTATATTTAGTTTAATTAAAAAGGGTCGACTTTACAACATTCGAATGAGAAAGATCTGTAGAGAATTTAATTAAAGATTAAACTAGTATTATTACTATCTACTGCTACTATTACTTATATTATAAACGTGAAATTTGTAATCAAGTATATTTGTTAATCAATCATGGTTTTTTGTCCTAATGAATTTGATCCAAATTTAATTACATACCCTGCTTCAACGTTTGGGAGAATCTTTATCCTAATTCATCTGGTAAAAAAACATTTTATTAATTATTGTAATAAATGAATAAAAATTATTAAGAATAATAGTGGATTAAGTACAAACGTGAAATATGCTATTGATTTTGCATAAAATCATCGTACATGTGCATGAACAGGGTCCATTCTTACAATAGCGAAGCAAACTGGGGTCGTGCCTAAACAATGCATTATCCAACAAAGCCTATCGAGAATTACAGCGAAACTGAATACAATATATCGTAACACTATCAGACAGTAGATCACGAGCATCTCGAGAGGCCGCATACCTACTGCTTTTTATTTTTATTTTTTTTATTGTAACGCGAGCGGTGGCATGGCACCGCCGCCGTATCGAGCACGCGTTATCTTTGCCCAACACAAACACCACTTGTCCATTAGAACGTAATCGGTTGTGATGCCACCAACCGACTCCAACTTATAGTTTAATTCGACATTTGTTTACCTTTGTGTTTAAGTGAAATTCCTTATTCGAATTGCAATATCTTCCTTCAAAGCGCCCGTAGATATTATACATATTTTTTCGAGTCTGATGCGCAATATTCCGCTACTTCAAGAACCAAGCCTTCTTATGTTATATTTTTAAATATTCTTTAACTAAAGCACTGTGTTTAATTCCTTTTAAAATTATAATTAATTCATGCTGTTGTAGTAATATACAATTGGACGATTAGATGTTGTTGTAAGGTGGCGAGATTATAATCTATAGGGTGAAGGGGGCTATATTTAGAATCTGAAATATTTCTCACATAATGATGAATAATTATGTTTTTTTTATACAACTTAGAATGGCAAACAAGCTGACGGCCCACCTGATGGAAAGTGGTAACCGTCGCCTATAGACATGAACAGTACCGTGGATATAACAGAGTATACTGTTTCGCCCATGATACCCCCATGCGTTGCCATTCCTGAGGACTCAGGTGTTATTCCTCCGTACCCAGTAATTTCACGCCATATCCCACCCTTCAAACTGAAACGCAGCTATGCAAACACAACTGCTATACGGTTTAAACACGAATGGGACAGAGGTACCCAAGCAATCGACTTTTGTACAAAGTCTCCCTCTGGTAAAATGTTATTAAATATCTAAAACATGTTTACCAAAAATATTCAATAATCGAAATGAACACATTATCTTAAACTGCTTGTAAACAAGTGTATTTAAATAAATATTTCCATTTTTATTTTATTCTATTAATAACAATATGTCTAGTAATATTCTTTGACTTGTAATTATCATGAACAACATTCACATATTTATTTGAATATAAAACACCTCTTTAAACTAGTATAATAAAACGAACTGATAACGTTTCATGTTTTTAAACTAATTTTATAGTAAATCAAAATAATATAAATTAGTCGTTAATGCTTTTGGGTATACATTAAATAAGACAGATAAAAAGTAAGTTTGACTTATTGAAATTCTGACATAGATAGACATTTGATAGATATCAAAGATAATGATTTTTTTAAGCAAAATGTTAATCCAAGGGAGAATGATCTTTGCAAAATTATAAGAAATTGCTTACAACAGGTATACAAGTATATCTTACAAACCTATGTAACCTGAGCTATTAGTGACTTATGAAAGTCTCTAATACCCATATTTTTGGAAGAAACCCATATTTATTAACTTGAAAATTTGTTAATAAATAGATTCTGTTTACAAAAGCAAAAAAATACCGACATCAATCGTAAAACCTGTTATTTTTATTTAAAAACTGAACTACTAAACAGTAACTTGCGACCACTCTGAAAGCATACCTCTTCAGATAAAAAAAATTAAATAAGTTTATAGATGACAGTGTTCTGAGGTCACAAACAAAAAAATCGAATTAAGAAAAATAATTTTATGTATTAAAAAAGGAAGAAAAAAAGTTTATCAATGTTTCTCTTGCAGTATCTAAGTTTACAAATAGTATTTAAAATTCCTCTAAATTTTGAATTGATAGTGTCAGTAGGTACATACTTCTCTAAATATATGAAGTATCCTTTAGTATAAACGCTGTGTGGTCCCGGCATAGAATGGGTCACTCCTTTCTTTCCCATGGGAGCCGTAAGAGGTGATTTAGGAAACTTAATAATCAAGGGATGGGCTGCAGCGTTCTTCTTAATACATCACCAAAATCTTACTGCAGTTACTATTATCCAGCTGCTAAGCATGGCAACTACTGTTAAAACATATATAGGCCTTTTCCATAAGGGGAGTTTTCCCCTTATGGGAAAGGCCTATGTATATAATAATAATAAACTGTGACATAAGAAAAAATAAATGTAAAATTACGATTGAATTCACGTAATCCTACTATAAGAGTTATTTTTTACCTTTTTAGTATAGAACCCTAAAAATTGTAAGCTTTTAATAGAGCAAGTTATCTACGGGTTTATTTAACCTTATCGAAAATAATGATTCAATATTAATGTGTCGTCCAGTTAAAAGCTTTTACGAAACACGTGTCTGCTTATTGATTGACTTGTATTAATTAATTTGGATGGTAATTGCCATTTTCCATAATTTATTGTAAGCAGATGGCTTGTCCGTGATTCTGTTTAACTGGTGTCGCTTCACTTTAAAACAGGTTAATTAAAATGATGTATCGATAGTCCAAACAGACGCATGATATATCAACACCGATACTGATAAGTGAAGTAAATTGTAATTAGGTACATACATGTTATATAATATGGAAATTTATTCAACACAAAATTAACTATCTATTTATGATAATTAATTATTTAGAAGTAATGGGAGGTATTTAAGTATGGAAATCATAGTTATTTGTCTAATTGTATTATCAAAATCTTTTGAAACACGATCTGCAAGCAAATTTCCAGTAAATAGGTACAATTTAATGTAGGTAGACTTCCTGCATTTTGAAATACGTAACTTCGTAAGTTCCGTGACACAAAATAATTGTACATGAACCTAAATAAAAGACTTAACTTTATCTTCTCGCGTGTTAAAAGTTTTTTTTTTTTTTTTACATAATTTATCGCGACGGTCTCGACACATTCTTAGCATTTTTCGAACGAATTTAGAACTCTGTCTATATATATTACGAATGGAGATTCATATTTATCTTGTGATGTTGTAGCAAACAATAAATACAGCCGAATTTAAACACCTTATAAAGTACGTAATAGTTAGATAAATAATTAAATTGATTTGTATCCAACTAGCTATTACCCGCGTCTTTTATTGCATTATGTCCTCTTTATGTTGAAATTTTCAAAAACCTTGATGTACGTTTTTTTAATGCCTGAGAATGGAAGGGTAACCTCGCGCTATCGGTATACGCAGAGATAATAGGTAAAGATGAAAAAAGTCAGTTAGCTCGTCATGACGAACCTAAGCGGATGTATACGTTTAAAATAAACCTATATTTCTTTAAGCTTACTAGACTATTTTTGTTGTGCGTTGATAGGCAGTCAGGACTAACGATTTTATAAGTATAAGTACATATTTGAACAAGAGTAATTTAATACAAGATACATAGATGAATAAAAAGAGGTAACATCATGCAATCATGCTGACACTATATTGTCATAGCATCGTTTATTTTCTTTGCATTTTGCCCACCCACACTACTCCAGTCTGATTCATGGATATAATTTGAAACAACGTTGTAATGATAGATAAATAAATATCATTAAACATATTAAATACAGAGCCTAGAGGGCTCTGTATTTAATATGGCAAATTCCAGTTTATAGTTCTAAATTAAGGCAGGCTTGTACTATGTGTGCAACAATAGATACTTTCTCACTTTTTTTTTATAAATATACACTTATTATATATAGAACACACTTAGAATATAAACAAAGATAAATACTTATAAATAAATGTAAATGTTTGTATTGCACAGAAATCGAATTCGCGACTGGAAGATAAGGTGTGTTAAGGGTAACGGTAGCCATTTTTTTTTATTTATGTAATTTTTTCACGATGATTATATATATATGTAACGGGAATTTCGTGTATATATATATACATATGTGTGTGTGTGTGTGTGTGTGTGTGTGTGTGTGTGTGTGTGTGTGTCAGCTTATTTGCTTACCAATAAAAAAAACTAACCTCCACTTAGTCCGTCGGTTCTGAAACCACGTTTTCACTTGCGCATCTGTCATTTTCAAAGTTTTCGCTAGTGACGCTCTCTCCGCTGACGCCAGGTACTTCTGTTTGTGGAATCTTTTCTCTAACTCTGCTATTTGAAGCCTGGTGAATGAGGTTCTGGGTTTCTTCCGTTTTGGAGGCGTTCTGTTCTGGTACGGGTGTCCAATCCGCCTCGTGATAGGGAATGATGCTGGAACAAACATTCAATTTAGAATTTATATGAAACTAGCTTTGCGCCCGCTACTTTCCACGCGTGGATTTCAGAAGGAGGACAACCAATGAGATAGAGACTTCTAGATGGCAATACATATAACATATTTAGGATATCAGGACCCCAACTGCAAAAACACAATACAATTTGGCGTAGTAGTTTTTTCGTGATGCTGGAACCAACATACAAATAAGCAGACACAATTTCTAAAAAAAAATATTTTGGCATCTATTAGTTTTATTCAGACTCCTCATTTTTTTTAAATCTCCCATCTATGGGCATCAACTAGTTACAAGTTTATTATTTTGGTAAGACTATACTATATACAAGCTTGATGGGATGACATATCAAAATACTTTACTTAACCTTTTATCCTATTTCCTTACTAATCCTATTAATATTAAATATAAATATAAAAGTTTCTAAAGAAGCGAATTACGGTTAATTAGCTAAACCGATTTGAATGGAATCGAGCACATAAATGTACCGTACAGTATATTAACACATAATATACTTCTATCTGTCGTGTGCTCCTGGCATAGAATGGGCCACTCCTTCCTTTACCGTGGGTGTAGTAGGAGGCGACTCAGGGAACTTAGTAGTAGAGGGATGGACAGCAGCGTCCTTCTTAAAAAATCACCAAAACCCAACTGCGGTTGCTAATCTGCATAGCAGACAGATGTTGTCTGCTATGCAGATTAGCAACTTTAGTAGATTAGTTGTGCTGTCGGAAAGCAGAGCACCCCGCAAGTTCCAGTCATACCCGATGTCCCACAGGATTGGTCCTAGCACCGACCTCTGTGGGATACCACGCTGCATCTCTATTCCACTCGTCGGGAAATCGTCCCGTCTCCAGGCACCTGTCGAACAGGTCCCGAAGACGGTCCCCTAGGGCACCCAGGGCCAACGCTAGAACGCGGCCGGGTATCCCATCAGGCTCCTGTGCGGTGTTCTTCGCCTGGAGCCTATCCACAGCCGCTGCGAACTCCTCCTGGGAGACTCTCGTAACCCCAACAACTCCGGCACCGCTAACCTCACGGCTCCACGGTACCATGGGAACAGGTGTAAACTCCGGCTGCGTTGGGAGTAGGTTGCTAATTCGCCTGCTAAGCGTAATAACTACTGGCAAAAACTCCCTTATAAGGGAGGCTATGTCCAGCAGTGGGCAGTTAATGACTAATATGATCATGATGATACTTCTATCTATAGGCATAATATTATTATGCTTATTAGCCGAAATATATATAAGGGTACGTTTTGTACGCTACATTTTCCACTTAAATCGCTCAACGAATCGATATTAATTGTGGCATCGTAATATTTGGCACAGAGAAGGACTGAAGCTCTTTCGAACTCCAACGAACCTAAATCCTATGATTACATAGTTAAAATTGCATTGAGAGTTAGGTTTATATTCAAAATTTATAATAGAAACTAAGATTAACGTCCGTTTCGAACTTGCGGTTATCAGAAAATAGTATCTGAACAATTACTGAAATAATAGTCTTAATAGGTAATCAAAAATCTTATCTTTATAATGGGAATCACGACTATAAATGGCGTTTGAGTAACAAAAGTCATGAATAAATAAAAATCTGATTAAACTTTATTCGCTATTAAATTACTCATAAATGCGTTTCGTGATTACTGCAGAGGTAGCAATCACAATTTCTCATTCATAATAAATGTAAAATTATATGTTGATGGCCGTTCGTGGAAAATCGCCTTAAAACTGACTGTTCTAAAGTCCGTTACACACAATAGCAATCAAATATTGTTATTGCATCGTATATATGATTAAACTAAAGAACAAAAGCATAATGACAACGCACAGCCTACTTTGATCGCCTAATGGCATGTCTATTCGATAACTGGCTCATACGTGTCTATATTTTAAGAAAAAAGTAAATTCATCATTCAAAGAAGCGGTTAGACGTAAATTCTCTTTTCAAAATTATATCCAACATGGCGGGCCAGTAATTGCGTTTTAAAATTCGAAGCTCAATAAATTATATTCGTTTATACGAAGCTCAGAGATTGGTCGAACGTTCGTAATGACCAGTATTTTTCGTAATCGATCGATTTGCATTAAATGATCCGTGAGATGAGATCATGTCGTTAACTATATTACGTTCGATTCAATGTCAATTCAAAATTCATAATCGACAAAATAATGATCATGAATAGAGGATCATTTCGACATAGTCATTTCGAATTCATTTTAAATTCGCAAACCGTAAAATGCCTTTACATTAGTATGTCTATGAGTAATCATTTTGTTGATTCTGTGTAGGATTTTAGATTGGATTTCATGTTAAATATACAGTAAAATATAATAATTTGATTTTCTGAACCTCGTAGATGAGTCATCAATATCATACATTGATGCCTTGACTACGTGTCCGTGAAATTAAGTCTAATTTACATCATGAAACTACTGTCATGAAAACAGCATAGTTTTCTAAAAAAAAACAGTTTTCATATTTTGCGCAATTATTTTATTAACAATAGTTTTACTATTGTTATACAGCTAATTTCATTAAAATACGACGTGAAACTAATGCCACCAAAGTGTCTGCATTTAGAGCAGGTTTTTTATGTAGTTATTAAGACAGTAGTTTATTACATTTGATATCTTTAAAATTAGTTCCTGAAATTATTTTAAGTAATTTATACAACGTAACCAATTTCATGTTCTTTTAGTTTTGTATGTTATGCAATTTACACGTTACTAATACCTATCCAATCGATTTTCACAATTATTTTAAAATTAGAAGCTACAATTTTTAAAACTTCTTATTGGGAAGCAAAATCTGCTTTTAAATTATGTGTTCTAAATTCAAATAACTCCAATGCAATTTTACATTTCGTCATTCATTAATGTATATGTGTTTACGAATAAACTTTCTTTTTGTTAAGCAAAATTTATACTTGTTAAAACTCCAGTACAACCTTGTTCCTGTTACCCTATTCTAAATTCAAATTACCAACTCATTCGTTCTCTACTCAAACATGAAACTGTATTAAAAGACGCGCTCCTATTGGCCGTTCTGAATGGTAATGGTTGCCTCACGTGACCGCAAATTGTCCTCAATTGCAGGGGTAACTTAACCATAGTTTAAGAACGTACTTAGTGACTTTTATGTTCTCACTAAATATTTGACTTTAAATACGGTGTTTCGTGCATTTTACTTCTGATTGTCACACAATGGAACATGATATTGTAGGTATGTGTAGTAATTTGTGTTACAATCCGACGAATAATTTACAAAGTACTTTAGTCATCGTTTACTTTGGAATATGTTTGTTGTTACCGTGACAACTGGTAACCAGAGCGTTGCGGTAATATTGTTTATGTATAAAATTTTTGTTTCTTATTTTTGTTTTCTTTGCGCATTGTCGTCGACTCATAATGTTTCGTACATAATCAAATTTATTCACAATGCTTATCTGTTACTGAATCAAATAAGATTACATAATACAATAAATAACGTTTATAATTTATATAGTAATATATTTTTACATGCGCACACACACACACACATATAAATAATAAATGCCTAATATTACAATTATAATATTTGCCATAATATTTTATCTGTGCAGTCATTTAGTCGATGTGAGGGTCAAACAATCTGTGTTATCTTTTAGCATGTACATATGTATACAAACTTTCAAATATACCTTTTGTTCAATTTATTATATACGCAATAAAATAAAAATACAACAATCTCCAATAAACTATCCCGTAGGTACCTATCCTTTGTCTCCGCCGCACATAAAAAGTATATTCAACTAACAGTACGAAACAATAAAAGCGATTACTTACACAGTCTACTGTAGGCACACTTGTGTCACATAATATCAGGGTAGAAAAGGGTGGCGTAACAAGATTCCGCGGTCCTAATTCGGTTACACCGTATGATTCATGGGCGCGTCTACGTGGCTACCGACAATGGTTGTTAGTTACTACATTTTGTAGATGCCTAGGGATTCCAATTTTGAATTGTACATTTTTTTATTTACTTTATTAACGTTTCGAGCTGCGAATAGGCGTTTTGTATATTCCATATTTGAATATGTTTAAAAACAGTCCTTCCTAACTTTGAAGAAAAAATTTTTGTGTGTTATCTATGTAAATATATAGTTCATTGAAAATATTATATTATAGTACTTCTAGATGATTGTATAGATTCCTTTTTCAGTTTCGACAATATAAGAGCAGTGCCGACTTTTAAATAATAGACAGAATACTCGCTTCGAATTCAAAATTAGAAGCCTTTTATTATAATATATAAAATTAATTCTTGGATCTGAAAAATAAGATCGAGTGTTGATGCAAATATGGCAATTAATACAGTACAATACTCGCGCTGTCAATGTGACTTCATCTTAAAGTATTCACTATAATACTACTACAATTTATGTAAAAGACTAAAAGTATATGCTGGATTAATCCACTGTATCGTCAAAATCGACAGTTATAACATCAGTGTTAAAATTTTTATTGGATAAATAGCTATATTTTATTTTATTATACATCATCATCATAAAACTAATTATATTAAAGATAAACGTAAAGAAAAATTAACAAACAAATTAACGTTGAAGGGTTTAAGCGTCTCAGAGGGTAATCCCTTTATGATATTATCCCTTTGGGCAACCCTTTTCTCCCCCGGTTGGGGTTTTGGGCACTCAAAGTGAATCTGTTTTATATATATCACTTTATTACACCCTTCTGGCATTTTCAGGGCTTTTAAGATTACGTATTATTTTGAGGTAAAGTGATGTATGTATTTTTATTTATCTATGAAAAAAAAATTATATGTAAAGTTATATGTAATAACCTCTTTTATAGAATCAATAGATTCAATATCATCTAAACTGAATATCTCCCTAGAAATATCTCAACAAAACAACCTAATTTTTATTCTAAAAGACGCGCTTTTAAAATAAATAACCGGATTGACAATTAACGT